AAATAAAAATGCAGATTGCAACTACTTTCGATTGGGCAGTTATTTCAACAGCTGAACTCCCATTCTTCAAGAGGCAAAATTCAAGGAGGGTATCAGGTACTTGTGAGACGTTCAGATAACCCTGCAGGGCTTTCCTCAGTTCCAATCTTATCACCCTCATTAGAATATCGTCTGATTTATCGGAATAAGCCTATGAGTGTGCTTAAATAATGGAAGTATTTATTACGACGTAATCGCCCGTGTTAAAATTGTACCAATCAGTTTGATCGGTGTACACTTCTGGCTCACTTGCTCCATCCTCGTAAATAGCCCTTACTAAAGAATGACTAAGAAATCAAAGAGAGTTCATACTTTTTGGTCTTATTCCACGATCCAAAGATGGGAAGTCGATAGAAAGCGTGCTCCCATTAGGTGTGAGTCCTATTATTTCCGATCTGACTATACGCGACAATCTGGTAAATTCACGTCGCAGTTTATCCTCAGCCTTCGAAGATTCCAAAGCGGAGAAGGGAACAGGGGATATCATACTAATGCGCCTTGACCTTGTCTATGTCAGTGACTTTTTACTAATTAAAACTGCTTCTAAACTTAAGTTCAAAGACGGTGAAGACTTTGCCATTCGCTAATACAACAGCATGTTTAGTACTTTTTGCGATTTTATTACTTCTGAGACTGCTACCAACATCGGTAGTTGACATTGTATTACACAATAGGGCCTTGTATTTGGCCAAAACATTACTCTTTCCCACACTTAATTTTGTAAAATTCAAGTATCTCTATTCTCGGGCAATCTTCTGTAGCGTTGTTCGGATTCCACTCCAACCAGTAGACAAATCTCGTTTTTCTGTGGGAAGCAGTCACGATTATTACTGGTGGACAATTCGTTCTCGAAATTATGGAATTGCTTTTATCAATCCTTCCACTTAATTCCCATATATATACTAGGCGCAGCCTATTACTTTGATTCATCTTTAGCTCTCTTTGACTGAACTAATCTACTATCTGATTTAAAGCATAAACGCGACAGGAAAGTACAAGCATAATCTACAGAAACGTGACTTTATTAGCCTATTATTTTCAAACATAACTCGAAAGACGTCTTCCACAATATACCACCGATGTCAAAGGTAATATTTTTGTAAGTGACATAAGCATAAATGTGTTCACGTGCGTATGCGTGTGTATGTGCCAGTGTGCCAATGGAGAGGAGGCAGAACTTACAGAGAATAGAAAACAGCTGATCACAGAATCTTTCAGTTCTTCTCTAGTCAATAGGGCCAGTCAGCTAGCTAGTTAGTGCAGAAATTGAAAAACATTTACTTCCACTAGCACCACCACCAGCACCAATACCACTGCTACCGTTGATGCTGCCGCTGCTGCTGCTACTTGCCATGGAACTCCTCTTTTCACACATCGAATGAGAACTTCTCGGTGAAGTTCGTTCCATTAGCACCTCCTCCGGATCGCTGTCCTCCTTCCCTCCTTCCGACAGTGGTACACCTCGTGCGAGTGAGGAAATGATGATGTGGGGCGGTGGAATGGGAATGTATGCCATATTGTAGGGGTTGTCAAGCCATGGACAGATGCTCTTGAATAGATCAACGATGCCATGAGCAGAGGTACCTGCTGGTGGCCATTGTGATGGTGTAGTCAGTGTGGTGATGCTAGCATTTTCTAAACGCGCTCGTTTCTTTCCATAGTGGAGATCCTGTGGCGCACACTTTGGAACTTGTAGATATGCGCCTATTTGGGAGTCACGGTAACCTAGATGGAAGAAGAATTCAGAATCACGGCTTATCTACCCCCTCAATCAACAAACAGTACACATAATTTTCCAATAGTTAAGCTTTCCGCTGACTTAACCAGTGCACAAGTCGGCAGATCAATTCAAGATAGCCTAACTTGAAAGGTTATAATAGATGAAGCTAGAAGCATTGTTTGCCTATTTATTCCATATGCGTACACACGTTGGTCACCATCGGTTTGTGTCTGTTGTCAGGCCATTAAAGGGACTTTAACATGGAGAGCAATCTCCTGCGCTGGCCTCCCTCTGTCTTACGCGTCGTCCCATACAAGACATACCACAGCCTTTCAATTTAGGCGTCATTGGGTACAAGTGGTCGAGTGATGACAAGGCGCAGGAACGGTGGACAAATCATTACTTCCCCTTTCCACCACTACTACTACTACTACCACCACCACCACCACCACCACCACGACCTCTGCATTTGTGCCTACCTTACTGCCTATTAGAGGATTAGCTGCCAAGAGGAATGCGAGTTTCTTCCTTTGTTTGCGTGTGTGTGTGTGTTTTCCCACAGATAACCACAATACCAATCTGTCAGGCAGTTTTATTATGTATGTACCTACACAAGCGCTAATGTATTTATGTGAGCACATGTTGCTGTGTTTAATGCTGTCCATATGGCTTTCCTTCTGCTTTGACATCACCGCTTCGTACATTACCTGTCGCAGACAAGCTTGCTCAAAGTAGAGACAAATTTGTGCAATAATTTGTCAAAGCTTAGGGTGAAATTCGAGTTTGTAGAACCATACATCTCACAAAGCTCATTAAATTTGGCTCTAATTACCATCTAAAGTCCTCCTACTACTAAACGGAAGGTAGCTTTCCCTGTATTTAAGTAACACTTTTGTATGCTGTCCTCATCTTGGTGTCATGCACCTCCTTTCCCCATGCCTGATTATGACTTCCCAAGGAAGACTAGAGACACTATATTGGTGGTAAAATGGAGGGAACCAGCCTCAAGTAAACTATTGTGCCAATTTTCTTGGCTGGTTGTTGTAACAGGATCGCCTTATGGTGATCCCTCCATTTTGACATCTCCGCAATGGTCACAAACTGAAGGAAGTCAGGCTTTATCAAGCCCAAATTTGCCCGAAATAAATTATTTTTCGAAGACATGCTTCTCCTCTTCATCACAACAACATTTGGTGAACACAATGTGCGCGTTGGTGAATGTCTTCCAGTCCTTAGTACTTCCTTCCACATTAACTCATTCCTCATGCAGGACTGTCAACCGGCACTGCAACAGGTCCCCAAATTTAATGTATTTTTGTTGTTTTAGTCCTACGAATCATCACACATTTTGACTGATGCTTAAAAGTAGGCTTAGCAGTGCAAATATAGCCATTTGACTGAATACTAAATTACTGGGGCTTCTCAATCTCCCTACGTTCTTACACCGCCTTGTCTTTCTGCTCTTCTACAAACTGGCATCTCTCATACCTCTCCCCATTAATCTTACCATAACGCAGAGATGATGCAGGCAGAAGCATCTTGCTGGGTGACCTGACATCCGCCTTGCATGATCTGCCTAAATCGTCCACTTCAGAATCAGAGCAGCAGCTGTTAGTGCTGTGTGTGATGCTTTCAACCTTGTCTGTAGTGTTGCGGCAAAAGCCACATGGTGGACTGTACAGGCGTGTCTTTCCAGTCTGCCGTCTAAAAGGTAAAGACACTAAGTTGTTAATGACGCGTAGTCTTCAGTGTTTGGGAGTTTATACGAGAAACACTCGAGTCAAAGAGGGAATTTTAGTTGAACCTCTTCACAGTCAAAAAGCTGGCTACCCTGATCCTGGTCTATGGGCTAGTCTGATCCAGAGACCTTTCATCAAAATCCACTGACAGGGAACAGTGCGAGTGAGTGAGCCTACATGATACATTGTGCTCATAAGTTGTGACTTTTGTCTACAAGGTGTAAAAGTGTGGGTTCCGGATTTCCCCTCTTATCTACAGTAGATTTAATCCACTCCATGGTGCAGCGATAGACGCACACCAGTAAGACAGTTTAATTTGGACCTCGTTTCAAAGGCAGCCGGCCGTGATAGTTGTCTCTCCAATCCACCACCTTGATAGTCATTCTTGGAGATATTCATCCAGGGTAGGAAATGCCTGCCTGATCATGAACCTCCCACCAACACGTTATTCCACGATGGGCACATCTTTCGGGAAGAATGCTGACCGAAACACACTCATTGGCAAAATTTTGCACCACAACACCCTTTTTCCATCAGTCAGGGTAAAAGAGTTGAATGTTACTTTAATGGATGGCAGGATTTTGCGAAGGTATCGCCTCGCTTTGGACTCACAATGACCATAGAAGCAATGGAAACATACAGTGATCATTCGGGTCATTCCAGCACCATTGAGGAGGTTCTCCATGCATCATTTGCATCACGGGAATGATTGTATGGATACAACAGGAGGTACTTGTAAAGCTTTGATAGTTTTTTAACTCTACGTTCAAATACGCAGATATTTTAGTCCTTAAACCATGTTAATAGCCTCAGCTCTTCTCTACGTCAGCAATGGATCTCCTGCCACATTACTATGACTCCCTACGATTTTAGGATAGGCACAAGGAGCTACAGCGTTGTTAGAAAATAAATTCAGCTTCCATTATCCTCTCTGCTTCTTACTCCATGGAATACACGTTCAAATTTGCCATTGGCATTGCCAGCAACACTTGAGGTTGATATTTACAAGCCTTACTTCTTCTCTCGCCTTCCACCGCCGGTGTCCCGAAAGCCTTTTGCAAAGGGATTGTGATCTATTTTCAGCTGCGTTATCTAAAGGTAAAACAATGACCTAGTTAGGTAGTTAGCCGGAGTCAACCGATTCGGAGACCCCAAAGTATTTGACCTCATTCTTCGTGTACCTTGACCAACTATACTACTTATTAAAGTCAAAATAAGGCTTTATACTGTACTTTGGTTGAAACAACATCTTTCCAATTCGTGTTACAACAGAGACTGGATAGTTGCAGAGTAAATAAATTTGAACATTTTACTATGTGATTGTCTACAATCAACCAATCCTTCATAGTGGCTATTCAGTTTTGACAAGCTTTGAAATGAACAAACTACTTATGTGGAATCTCGAATTTGGCAGCTCTTGGTGGAATAGGTAGTAGTAGGACTGAATGATTACCATCTCATTTTGATATGCAGTGACCGCAATAAATACGGTTTCGGGAAATGAGAAGGAGTGGAAGGAGGAATAGGGGAGTCGAATCACATCCTTTGCCTTGATCAGATGGAACCGGGGCTGATACTTGTGCATCGAATTGAGGATTGTCTGTAACAAGGGAAAGGCAAAAAATTAAACTTTCCAGGAAATATGAAGCGTGTAGTGTCACCTCTTGCTGTAGGGAACTTGCAAGCCTCCCAGACAGCATTGCGATAACAATGAAATAGAAAAGGTAGGCAAAACTGGATCCCAATCCTGACGAACAGCGCTACGGCGTATCTTTGATAATCTCCTGACATGCAAGCTCGGCTCACAATAGAATGTCATTCACCTTTTGTTTAATTTATCATTGTTGTGATGGTCAGGTCAGAAAAAGAGTTGCAAAGGTATCGAGAAATTTGCTCAATGTAAGTCAAAAATACATGTCAAGCCTTCTAAGGGCGTTTAAGCCAAGTGGGGACTTTGAAATACAGCATCCATGCACACAAACCAGGGTTTAACTACCGTCTGCAAGGCTTTGGTACAGAAAAATTCTGTCGGTATAGTTGAACCATCTTAGAATAGGGTGATTCACTCACCATCAGGGGGAGCAACAACTTCACAATTATGCAGATTTAATGAAAGATTTGGCGGTATTTACCATTTACAGCTGGACTTTAAAACATTCCCAGAGCGGTTGACTGGTCGAGAACTGAGTGGCAAATTCCTATTTTATTGACTCCTGATTACCTTACCTTCACTTGCAATGAACGTTCTACCTGGTGGTTGTGGTTGTGGTTGTTGTTGTTGTTGTTGTTGTTGTTGT